ACCAGTGAATCATTCAAATCATTGTAGAATCCCAGAGGTTTATGTCTGCTTAAGAAAATCTAGAGAGAACAGACATAAAATAACTAAAGAGAGAAGAAATCTACAGTTTTTCTCATTGGTAAATAGTTTGAAGACCCAAGAATTATTCATGTCACTACTGGATGTTATGGTTTTTCTTTAGGATTAAATGGAAAACAGCTTCAATGCTCTCCCTTCAGTTTAAATTTTCCAGACATGCTAGGGAAATTTCATTGATATCCAGTGGTATAAGTGCTATGTTCATAACTTGTCAGAGCCTTACAGTACAAAATAATGTAAAATGTGGCTTTTTAATATCTAATTTGTAATGGGAACTGAAATCTTTAATGGGTACAGTAGGCATCTTCTTATCCAATCGGCCATTTCTGGTAATCTAATAACCTCCAAGGAATTCTGACTTGGTCAAAAAACTACTGAGATGGCTGCATTCTATGAACCACAGGACATGTGACAAACAAAAACACAACACTTGAATCTGCTATTTTTTCTTTGGTTAAAGCCTTCCCTGTTGCTTTATTCTCTGAGCAGGAGGGGAAAGAGGAAGGAATCCCAGGAGTGCTAACATTATAATTCCCCCCCCAAAAAAAGTCCCGGCTTTTTCATTCAGATTGTCATCTTAGACCCTAAAACTAATTTGAAGGCCTTGTGGCAAATTCCTAAGTAGTAGTTCATTATAAAATAACCCTTGAGATATTTCTGCTTCCCTTGGACACATAATTTATTTATCCAGTTTGGAAATTAACTCTAGGAATGAAGTCCTCAAAAGAAAGTTTTTAGCTATTTGGTGGTAGAGAGTGATTTCTCTAAAAACTTTGTCCATTCACTCTGCAGATGCATGTTACTTTCCCTGTACCTCTCCTTTTTGTCCCTCTTGACTGCCACCAAGGCTGTCTGTTCTTAGACTGGGCCTCTTACCAACTCTTCACCAATCTATGTCCTCCTTCCATCCTGCTAGATGAGCAGGCAAATCTGGGCTTGCCTCTTTTCCTTAGACCTCTATCCTGAACAGCTGAGTCATCCTATTGCAAAGTTCTTTGCTTTATTTATTCACCCCACTCAAATGCTTTTCAAAAGCCTTTTCTCACTTTCTTCTTCTGAATCGTATTCCTGTCCCACTAATCACTATTTACCTGTTTTCACACTCTTGAGGTATATGATGCAAGCTTTAGAAATTTACACACATGCTGTAAAATACCAAAGATTAAGAAACTCCACAATAAAATGTAGATGAGAAAGGCTTTCCCCTCTACTTCTAATTATAGTCAGCCCACAGAGTAGGCTCTATGAATCAATAGTTACAGGAACAAAATGGTTCATATGGATGGTTGAACTAGCGTGAAACTCTTTACTTCCACTGTATGAAGTCCTAAAGGGTAGAGAGCACTGAGAGATAAGGAAGGAAGAGTCTGCACACTGGCAAGAAGAGAAGTTGAGTTTCCTCTTTTTTTGTAAAACATTGCTGCAGTTCTTCCCAGTACAATTTGCAGAGCAATTCTGAGTCATTAAATAGATAAAAAGGAAAGAAGTGGTTTTTCCAGCATACCTTCTGAGATCTGACCCTATCTGTCCTTTTCTTCCTAGGTACTTGGAAGTTCTGGTAAAACATACATATGTTTGGCTTCTTGTCATTACTGTTCATGTCCTGCATTTGCCTTCTTAGTGCTACGGAAGAGTGAAAGCCTACTGGTGAGCATGGGGAGGCTCTTCCCATTATAGTTGAATTGGTAGGGAAATTGTTAGCCCTTACTTTGTAGTTTAAGAGTCATACAAAATGGCAATTTTACTACATGTTGAAACAAATAGTATTACAGTTTATTGTCCTTGACTTCAGTTAGTCAGTCATCTCTTTTGGGTTTAGCCTTCAAAAATGCAATGTCATTTTTAAAACTACATCAGTTTTCTGCATTTTTATTTAAAAGGTAATGGGTGCACATGGGAGGACAACACAGTAGTCCTGGAAGTTGGCACTAGAGGATTAGATGGCCCAGCAAAAATACAAACTAAACTGGATGTTAGCAACTTTGTATATCCCCACATCTAGCCATGAGGTATGTCTTCCTCCTATAGTAAGACAGCCTGGCACCACACTTGACTTTCACATGTGGTAGGAGTGCCTTTGCCTGTCTTTAAGCCTTTGCCAATTTTGTCCAGAGTCCAGAGCATCAAGCAGAAACAAAATATGCTCACATACACCTTATTCCAAAGGGAAAGATATTCCCTTCCTGAGAGCAAGTAGCTATTTTTTAATTCTTGCCAAAGCAGAAAATAATGGCCTCCACTCCATTCTTCCCCTTTCTTTTATGCTGTTTACTTCTTAAATATCTTGGGACCTGGATGGTAAGTTGGATATACGTTCATAGCTGATTTGCCATAAATTTATTTCACCTGTAAAATGATAGGATTGAACTAGGGCCTGTTTAAGATCTAAAGCTATGTTCAGTGACATCATATCGAACAGTTATCTCCCCAGAGGTGTGTACAGGTCAATATATGTGAGAGTTTTACCACCATTCCTCCCTGCCCCCAACCCCGGAAATACAACACAGTAGTTAAAGGAATAAACCGTAGACTCTAAGCATATGGTTAAAATACCTATTCTGGTAGGGTAGCTGTCAGATTTAAATGAGATAATTTATGAGAAGCATTTAGCAATGTAGTGCCTCAAGGAATGTTAGTCATTGCTGTGACAGCTCTTTGAAAGCAAGGAAGAAATTATAACTTAGGACTAAAATGAGAAGCCTGTTTTGGTTTTCACAATGGCTTATACACCCTGTGTCCACTGGATCTAAACTATTTTAAAAGCAGCAGAGAAAATAAGTCTTTGTCCCCTCTGACTTCTAGAGAGAGTACAGCTGTCTCATCTTTATCAGCAGTATTAGGCAGTAAGTTAAAGGCCCCATAATCTGTGTACTCTAGTTCTTTCCTGCTGAGTATGGTGGTTATGAGAGGTCTTAAGGTCTTGGTTAGACTGGTCAACCCTGGCCCTGTTTCTAACAGGACTCTATGTTTTCTATTCCAGTGCAAACATCTCTTGGCAGTTTATCTTAGTCAGGTTGTGAGGACCTGTCAGCAGCTATGTGTCTCTGACAAGCAATTGACTGACATATTTTTGATGGAGAAGAGACAAGAAAATTAAAAGGTACAGATTGAGCATCATTGTCTTTCAAAATAGAAGTCCCGTCAAGAACCATATGTCATGGTTCACATGGAAGAGGGGTGAAATGGATCATCTAGAGAGACTCCTTGCTATTGTCCTTTTTCCTTCCTGGACTGTAGGAAAGGGCTGTGGGTTATGGAAGGTGTGTGTATGTTTAGAAGCCCAGCACAGTCTTCTCATGAAAAACCTGAACCAGCCTCTGAGCCCCTTAGGTAAAAAATGTTCCTGGATGGAATCAGCACTTTAGATTCAAATAAAGCTGAATATCTTGTTATGTGCACAATTATTTACATGCTTTTTTTTTTTTTTAGGGATAATTAGATTCTTAAGTGACTGAATTACTAGTGATTCTTAAAAGGCTAGAATGGTAGACCAAACTGAGTGTGAGATAAAGTTTAGATGAATAGGTCTTAGTTCTTTTCCTTGGGTCCAGAAAATTATTCAGCAGCAATAAAAGATAACAGTAGAGATGTGGCTAAATAGCGACAAATATGAAAAGACTGAGGAGTTCTGGTTTCAGTAAGTTTCAGGCATCTGTGGTGTTGGTGCCTAAACAACTTAAATAGGCTGTGTTGTTAGAAAGGTAGTATTTAGAAAAAGGAAAGAGCTGGTTGTGCTCTGCATGCATTTCTGAGCTTTATGACAAAACAAATGAAGGAACAGACTAAAAATCATGTCCTGGAAGGAAACTACAGTTATGACTAGGGATTTTTAGTCTGAAGAAGAAAAGATAAAATAGATACCAGGAGAAGTATGAGAAGGGAGAGATAAGAGACTCAGTTGGACTCAGAGCAAAGAAGCAATGATAGATGAAGAGGAGACAGATTTCATACAGAACGAGAATTTCTTGTGCCTCCCAGAACATGAGCCACTAGTGAATGAATGCTAGGTGAAAAGCCCAAGGCCACAGATTTTTGCAATGTGTGGTCTGTTCTGCAGAGCCTTTTGTTAGTTGAGATGTGAGGAATAAAATCTATCAAGACTTTTGTGCTACTTGAGCAACTTCGAGTATAACTATTTTTTTTCAAGCAGCCTAAGGGTAAAGTATACAAGGTAGATGCAGTATGCGTAACAAGCCAATGCAGCATCCTAAGCTTGTCTTTTCAAAAGTTTTATTTTTATTTCACCTAATACACAGCTACATAATTTTACTAACTAAAATTTTCATACTTTGGCTTCCAAGAACTTGCCCCAGGCCGGGCGCTGTGGCTCACGCCTGTAATCCTAGCTCTTGGGAGGCCGAGGCGGGCGGATTGCTCAAGGTCAGGAGTTCAAAACCAGCCTGAGCAAGAGCGAGACCCCGTCTCTACTATAAATAGAAAGAAATTAATTGGCCAACTGATATATATATATAAAAATTAGCCGGGCATGGTGGCGCATGCCTGTAGTCCCAGCTACCCGGGAGGCTGAGGCAGAAGGATCGCTTGAGCCCAGGAGTTTGAGGTTGCTGTGAGCTAGGCTGACGCCACGGCACTCACTCTAGCCTGGGCAACAAAGTGAGACTCTGTCTCAAAAAAAAAAAAAAAAAAAAAGAACTTGCCCCAACTTGAATTTGAGAAGCAAAATTGACTATCTAGCTCTAGAAAGGGGAATTTAGTAGAGGAGGGATCCCATTTCATCAGTTTTTTCCTCTAGAGTAGTTTTCTGTATATGGGCAAGAATGAAGCTTAAAATTGTTATGTGATGATAATTCTACTTAAGAACTTATGAAAATATCACTTCCCTAAATTAACAAAGCAGTTTCTTGATTGAAGAATTATAGTTTTAATTTTCCAGGTTGCTTTCCTAGGAACCAGGTATACAGTTTTTAGTACAGCCACCTTTTATTTTTCCATTGCTTCTAAGTTAAAAAAAGTTACATTATAATAGTTCACAGTAAAATAGTTTGTCATTTTCTACCATAAAGGAGGCAGACTTTTAAAAACAAAACAGTCTTTTAGAATCCATTCAAGTTGTCAGCATCATCCATGCAGTAAGAGCAGCCAAATAGACTATAAATATATTTGACAACCCTTGGTGCCTACTAATAACACATACATATTAGCGAGATATGTGGTAACTCCAGGGAAGTGCTCAGAAGAGGCAGCCCACATGCTTGTGAAGTGTAGCTGTCTTCCACAGTGAGGATCAATTAGTTATGCCCTGCCTCTTCATGTACTGTGAATTTGTACTTTCTCCTTGAAGAGGCTAGAGCCCAGGTCACAGGCCCACACTGAGAGCAGGCTGTGCCGCTGCCTGCCCATTCCCACTCTTGACATCTGCCTGGCACAAAACATACCTGGAGATGATTTTGTGAAAAGTATAGCGGAAGTCTCGGTTCCGGTAAGCATAGACAATGGGATTAACAACGGAATTGGCATGCGACAGGAGAATGGCTATATTCATTGCCCACCTGGGCTTATTTTTAGCTCGAGCTGGCTGAAAAAGAGTGACACAGTTGATGACATGTACCGGTAGCCAGCACAGAGCAAAAATCCCCACAATCATGGCCAGCGACTTGGCTGCGTGGATCTCCCGCTGGAGGGTGGTCCTCGAGTGGTCCATCAGCTCAGTGCGCTGAAGCTGTCTGCAGGCCACCATGAAGATCTTGATGTAGATCACCAGCATTATGAGCAGTGGGGGCAGGACACACCCAAAGAAATTGAAGTATACCATGTAGCTCATGGGGACCACATTCTCAAAGAGGCACTTCACAGGGCAGCAGCTTTCATTCATGGTTCCATCCCAGGGCTCCGTGCAGTTGTTGGTGACACTGTCTTTACTGTTCCACCCCAGGAATGGAGTCAATCCAATGCCAAAGGCAAGGACCCAGAGGACAGCAATGACCCCTCTTGCTCGAGTCCCAGTGACCAAACTCTTATACCTGTTCAAAAGAACATCATCTGTTATGGTCTGTTTAAAGTACTCTGCAACCAAAGTCCAAGCCCCCACCTCTGCTTTTGTTCCGTGACCATTTAGCCCTAACCACCTCTAAGGTTCACCTTAAGGGCACTGTGGCCTTTACCCTGAACACTAAAGATAGGTAAACAAGGATGAGTAGCTTTGCTCTAACAAGCTCAATAAGCTTTTCATTCTTGACTTAGTAACTCATTTCTATTCAGTGACAAAAGGTAGTCAATGACAAGAGGTGGAGAAGCCTTAAAAGTATACAGTAAGTCCTCACCTAATGTTGTTGATAGGTTCTTAGAAACTGTGACTTTAAGCAAAACACACTAGGAACTTAACTCATCATGTTTATATCAATTATGGTAAAATTGAGTTTGTCAGAAGTTATGTCATTTCGCTTAATGTTTTAGTTTCTAAGTGAGGACATAGGACATACTGTACTTTTCCAGTTACCTAGGTATTGATCCGAGTCTAGGTCTTCTGTAAAGCACTGTTCTAGGTGGTTAAGATACACCAGTGAACAGAATACACAAAGATCTCTGCTAAATTTTAGCAGGGGGAAACAAACAACAAACATTAAGTTAGTAAACAGTGTGGAGATATGTATGGTATAAAAATGAAAAAAACAGTAAGGAATATCAGGACTGACAGAACCGTAGTTTTGTAGTGAAGGATGGCTTTACTGATGAGGTGACATTTAAATAAAGGCCTGAGGAAGTGAGCACTGGAGCCCGCTGGAGTCAGGAAGCACTCCCTATGGCTCTGGGCAAGAATCCTGGTCTCCTACAAGTAACACAAGAGGTTTGCCTGGGACTATGGGCAGAATTATTTCAAAATACCTCTGTAAACTGCTGGAGAACAAGAGTTCTGGCAGTGCCCCTATCTATAGAGAAATACTAACAGCAGAGTTGGCAAAAATTGGGAAATAGCAAATATTAAGTTTTTTAGTCATTTTTAAGCCATTAAATCTTACTAAAAATCAGCGGAAACCACAAAATACCTGTTAGACATTTTGCTATAAATTAGTCTATACATGGTTTATAGCAAAGGTATTAACTTTGTTATTAATGACTGGTCCATAATATGTATGTAAAATATAAATGAACATATTCAATGTAATATATTGAATAAGTGGAATAAAATCTTTCTGTAACCTTATAATCTCTGGGGGGTGGGCTGGGGTGGGGGAGACTGGGAAATAATTTGATTCGTGGTACTTTAAGACTTGTCTGTGGAAAATATCCAGTTTACTTTGCCTGCAGGATAAGGCTCCTACTTAGCATGGCTCCAGAGCCCTCCCGGCCTCAGGCCCACATTCCCAGTGCCTGCCATTTCTGACCAGTGGCTCCTTTCTGGCTCATGCCATTCTCAAAATCAGTCAAAACACCTGTTCCTCTTTCAAAGATCCCTCCTTTCTTGGTCACCTCTTAGAGGTGGCCGTTCTTACCCTCTGGCCTTATATACACACTTGTCATAGAGCCTGTTTATCTGTTTGTATGGTTTCCCTCAAGTAGAATGTCAGCCTTTTAAGGACAAGGACCTTGACTCTTTCTATTGTTATCCCCAGGACCTAGCACAGTACTTGACACATAGTAGTTTTTAATATGGCTATTCTGAATATATTCCCCAACTGTTACCTGACTTATAGCTAACAGCTTTAAAGGAAGATTCTGCTTCCTAGGAATACTTGATCTTGTAGCCTGGACAGGCAAAAGAACTGGTAGTTTGCTGAGGAAGTTAACTGAGGTCCTGCCCCATAATTTATGGCGATCTCTAATCTTTTCAGCTCCCTATTAGGATACCTCTTAGTAACAGGCAGCTCAGTTGTAGGGCCTTTACTACAGATGACCTGCTGGGCCCAGTTGTTTACTAAATTTTTCTTGGCCATCTGTTCCCTTTCCATTTCCCTCCTCAGTCAGGAATGTAAACCCTTCCTTAAAAAATGGTTTTCCTTGCCATTGCCTCACCAGAGATATGAATAATACAATTAGTCCCTACAGGATAACAAGGAAGCCTCCTAAAGCCAAACACTTAGAATCCTCAAATTTCAGATCCATGAGGCAGCCTAGACAGCCTGCCATGAATCCTCCTTTGTTAGCTGATTACAGGTCAGCCCTGGGGATGAATTTATATTTGGGATAACAAATCATGGCATGTCCATTCTTTGTTGGTGATTGGTCTAGAGTGGACAGTGAGGTCATTCTGGCCAATGAGACATAAAAGGACATCTGCTAGAGGTCTTCCAGGAAAGATTTTACTTCCTCATAAAAAGAGAGAGACCTATGAGCTCTGCCCCATGCCTATCCCATACTTGCTTTTGATACCCTTGTGGGTGGTTGTGATGTCTAGAACTGTAGCAGGCCTCTTGTGACTGTGAGGGACAAGCCTGCAGACAAAACCAATGGGAAAGCAGAAGGAAGAAAACAGCCTGGGTTCTTGATGACATCTTTGAACCACTAGACAAACTCTAGAACCATCATGGCTCCATATTCTTGTTTCAACAGATAATTAAATGTCTTGATTGCTCACAGCTCTCTTATAGTACTCTGTTACCTGCAGCCCAAAGTATATGAACTAGAGGGGACTTTCATCTTTTCTAGTCCAATATCTCATTTCACAAGCAAGAAAACAGAGATACAAAGTCTTTGAATAACAAAGCCAATATACGAACCAAAGACCAGAAACTAAGTCAGGACTCACAGGCCTGTGTTCTTGCATTATTTCAGCAGGCTGCCTCTTAATTTATTTACCTTTTTTCTTTAAAAGAAAAAAGGAATATTAGATTTAGATTTGAAGTACCCTGCACACAGAGGGCTCACTCAAGGGGGTGGCTTCCCACTAGAGTTCAAAACAACAATTGGAATCCACCCACATCTGAATGTCTCATAACTGTTGGATCCTACACATGTGAAAAAGTTTATGGCAGATTGTCCTGGATAAGGAAATGCAGCTGATTCCATTAGAGAAGCAGTTGGTTGCAGCTCTCTCTTTGAACCCCCATCACCACCTCACTTCCGTGTTTGTTCATTATTTCACTCAGAGTTCTTCCTTTGTACCACGCATTCTGCTAGGCATTGGAAACATAATCACTGCCCTCATGGAAAAGAGAAAATAAACAAGGAGATATATAAATGCATAATTACCAATTGGGACAGGTTCAGTCATACCCAAAAGAATAGGATGGAGTGATGAGAGAAAAACAGGGAGACCTTGGAAGCCCTCTCCTAGGCAGAAAGCTAAAAGTTAAGGAGTAAAAATTTTGAAAATTAGAAAAACATTCCAGGCCGGGCGCTGTGGCTCACGCCTGTAATCCTAGCACTCTGGGAGGCCGAGGCGGGTGGATTGCTCGAGGTCAGGAGTTCAAAACCAGCCTGAACAAGAGCGAGACCCCGTCTCTACTATAAATAGAAAGAAAATTAATTGGCCAACTAATACATACAGAAAAAATTAGCCGGGCATGGTGGCGCATGCCTGTAGTCCCAGCTACTCGGGAGGCTGAGGCAGGAGGATCGCTTGAGCCCAGGAGTGTGAGGTTGCTGTGAGCTAGGCTGCCGCCATGGCACTCACTCTAGCCTGGGCAACAAAGTGAGACTCTGTCTCAAAAAAACAAAACAAAACAAAACAAAACAAACAAAAAAAAAAGAGTGAAAAAAAAAAAACAAAACATTCCAGGCAGAGAGAACAGCATGTGCTAGGGCATTCAGACAAAGAATGTTAGTTCCCCAAAGAAGCAAAAGGAAATATGACCCCAAGAGGAAGCAGGGGCCAGTTCATAGGCCACAGGGAGCTATTGAAGGCTTTTACACAGGGGAATGGCACTAATTTATGTCATATGAACCTCACCTGGCCACAGTTTGGAGACTGAATTTTAGGGAAGCAAGAGAAGTAGTTGAGTTAGGAAAGTGTTTCAGTGGTTGATTGGAAAGGAAATACTGACTTGAGCCAGGGTTCCAGCAAAGGTGATGCAAATGCATATGCTTTGTGGAGGCAGGACAGGTCTTGAAGATAGGCTGGATGCAGGAATATGGGAATCAAGGATGACTCCTTAGGGTTCCCCGGGTATCAGCATTTACTGAAAGAAGATTACGTTTGGAATAGTGGGTGGGTTGCAAGAGGATGAAGATCAAGAGAATGATGGATGTTAGTATACTGATGAAAATGACCAATAGAGAGAGAGATGCCGGAAAATAAGGACAGATGCTAAGAATCTGAGGAGGTTGGAGGATGTGGGGTCCGAAGCACGTGTGGAAGGACACTTCCTCAGCTATGGCAGAAGGAAGGAGGAGAATAGGGCTGGTATGGGCAGGGTGGCAGCTGGGTGGTGAGAAGATAGGGGCAGCATCTCCTTGAAGTACTGGTACCTCAGAGACATACAGAGAAAGTCATCAGCTGAAGGAGAGAGGAGGAACCACACAAATGCTGAGTTTTGGAGACAAATGCCTGCAGAAACCCTCTGCCAACTGTCCAGAACACATCAATAGCACAGTTACCACTGCCTAAGCACCCACTCTTTGGGTGGCACTCTGCTGTGTGCCTTACACATCTCATCAAACCACACCCCACAAGGGGAGAGCTGCTATCCTCAGTTTATACAGATGTGGAAATTGAGGCTCAGGGAGCTTAAATGATTTCTCCATGCCACTAACCTGCAGTCAAGACACAAACCCAGATTAATCTGATTTTGGTTTTGCCTAAAGTGGCCATTTTCTTGCTTAAGAACCTACTGCTCTTCAGCTCTCATCGCATAAATCCCAGTTACCCTCTTGCCTGCTCACCCAGCCATGGCTCAGATGTTTCACTTTTTCCCCCCAGACACGTCTGTTCTGGCCAGAGCTGCTTCCTGGTTCCAGGGAGCCCCTACTCTGAAGGCAGCTACATGGGAATTGGAGACTTGAAGGAAGGGGACTCTGCTACCTTCTTAGGAGGGGTCCCCAAAGGCAGCACACAGAGACATGTGCTATTTCTTTACTCTGGTGG